GTGGGCCTTGCGCTGGTATTCTATTGGCCCCTTAAGTGACTCTGTATAGTCGCGGAGAACCTAACGGGTAACCGGGGCTCCGGCTCGACGTGCAGGAGAAGGAACGGGGTGGTTTTTAGTCAGTAAGAGCATGACACTCCCTACCGCCTCACCCAGGCGGGAGCAGTCATTCGATGATTTTCCCTCGTTAAAAAAAAAGTGACTGAGTTTGAAAATTGAATGTGCTATAGTAGAGTTAGAATGGAAAATAAACACGTGCAGAAAGCTAATTTATTTTTATGAAATAATAGTGATGTATCAATAAAATTCTTAATTAACATGTTGATAATTCATTAACATTCGTGTCGGGTGGTAGGTAAGAGTTTTTTCCCCTAAAATAAGTCGGTAATAAAAGGCGCGAAACTACAAACTAATAAAAATTGAGTACAACGTGGATCTACCTGAATCCTTGTGAACTACGTTTCATTGCAAGTTTACCTGTCCAGGTCGTTTCGTAGGATACCGATAGATGGCATTACTAGTGTCGTTTTAACTGTGTTTCAAATAAGAACAAATACTTTTAGTGATCTCTACTTACCTATTGGCAGTTATCAGAGAAGGTCCGTAACGATATTGAAGAACAATTTACTTAAATAATTTGTTATAATATGTCCACAATATGTATTAAAATAGTTTATGTAACACTTTTGTATGGAAAATTCAATAGATCAGTTCGTTAGATACTGATACTGAACTGAGCAGATATTGTGAAACAAACCCCCATTTTTAGAAAATTTTTAGATTTATGACAGTCAAGGATTCAATATCTTTGACTTTTAACTGGTGACCTCGTAGTTACATTAAATGTGTAGCCCTGTCTTCGCCGTAGGATTATAAAAGGCGTGTTCTTATAAAGGAGTTACAATAAGCAGCTTGTTGTGGGGGGGGGGGGGAGTTCGTAAATATACATGCTTAAGCTGCCTATGCCCTCTTCCAAAAAGCTGGTAGTGTACTAGCAAGTCCTCTGATTCTACGGCTGCCCAATGTCCTTTTTCTTTTTTCTTTTCAGAGTGGAAAGTCATCTCCTGACTTCTCCCGCCCGGGTGAGGCGAGAGGGAGTGTCAGACTCTAACTACTAAAAACTACCCCGTTCCTAATCCTGCACTTCAAGCCGGAGCCCCGGCAACTCGTTAAGGATTCAGCAACCGTTATCCTACGACCGATTCGGTACTGGACTGTTCGTCGACAGGACGATTCTTTTTTTTCTTTTTTTTCCCAACAGGATCATTCACCTATGGACATTTCGCCGACTGAACCTTTTATACACGTCACTTTCGACGACAGCCCTTTTCACGTACTAACTGTTTCACCGACACGAAGATAAACCTTACTATAGTTCCTTTACCTACAAATCTCTCATTTACGACGGCGAGTTGCTGGCTGGGACAGCAATTTGCTACTATCTTGCTTCTCTTAGTAAAAACACAGTAACCTATAGACAGATATGTGATAAATATATAAATACATTTTTTTTTGTGTCTTTGTCTAACCATACAACGTTGCTACCTTCCGTGCATCACTGCGTGGGTGACCCTTTTTACCGACTTCAAAAAAAGGAGGAGGTACTATGTTAGGCGAGTGTTTTTTTTTGTTTGTTCGCGCAGTACTCCGTCATTTGTGAACCGATTTCCAAAATTATTGTTTTTTTTGAAAGGGTGTACTCCCGGGATGGTCCCATTTCCATGAGGTCAGGATCTGATGATGGAATCCTAGGGAAACCGAGGGGATCTTTCGAAAATTCTATGGGCGAGTAGTGCGTCTATTATGTTTTTCATTTACGATTTTTAAACACTACAATTTGATAAGGGTCTGGAGTCGACCTGATGATGGAGCTGACAGACAGTCGAGGGAACTCCTCAGCGGTTTATATTAACTACCTTGTGTTTGGGCTTGATTAATTTGTATTGATGAGAACTTTACACCTAGATAGAGTGGGGCTGTCATTGTGTCAGCGTCTCTCTTCTAATTCTTCTGTTTTAATTTTTCACCTCAATGTTTTTATCACTTCCACTGTCACACCTTTATTGTCTTTTTATGTTTTATTTATGCTGCTTCGTGTCTGGTGCTGAATAATTGTTTTTTCTTTCTCTTTCTAAAAGAGCTATAGTTAGGTTTATCTTCATGTCGGTGAAACAGTTAGATGGTGAAAAGGTTTGTCGTCGAAAGTGACGCATATGAAAGGTACTGTCAGCGAAATGTATGTTGGGGAAACCGAAATAAATGGATCGTCCTGTCGACGAACAGTCCAGTGGCGAATCGGTCGTAGGAGAGCGGTTGCTTAAACTGTCAAACTCCGAGCGGTCACCGGTGACCGCAACCTATTGTTCTTTAATTGTGTCTATAAATACGGTACTCGACGAGTTAATTGTGTGTATAGTGACGGTACTCAAAGAGTTAATCCCCGTTAAGTCCTCCTAATCCTCCTACGTATGCCCAATGTCCATAGGTGGTCTACGTGACCATCATGTGACCATTCTACACGTTTGCCTCCCAAAACTATAATTATATTAATAAAAACAGATGGATGAATACCTACATAAAAAGTATAAAAACTAAAAAAAAAAACACACACGAAACAAATAAAGTAAAATAAAATAAGTTCTTGAAGTATCCGTTGCAGGCGTGCAGCTGTTAACCAGCGCGGCAGAGAGCAAGCTTGTTAATAAATTACATAGCACTTTACAAAGCGTGTCTGAGTGTTATAAGATTGTCATAATAAATATTGTAAGCAAAAACATTCATTTTTTACTTGAAATAACATCATTTCCAAGTATTTTACGATCACTATAATTGTTAGAATACCTCTAGAGAACCGCTCACGTAACTATTATGATTAAACAAGTGCAGTTCGCTACGTCACTATCTTATTTATTGTTTGCAACAAAATAATATTAAAAGCTTTACGTTTATGTGCACTTAATACCTTTAAGATTATACGTTGCGAGCGGCTGATCGTGGCTTTTACAATAAATAAATTCAGTTTGACGGTAAAATTGTATTATACGTTTTAATAAATACCGATATATAATCACAGGGCTTTGCAACGTGCAGATTGCGGACCAATGCTTTACTTAAATTATATTTTGAATCTCACGAACGAATGAGGGTCTTTACTAAAGATAGATTCTAGTTCTTGTTCTTTATTTTATTTGGTCTTCGAACAAAGAATTGTTATTAATAGGGATGATAACAGGGTATGAGAAATTAACATCATTTAGACCGTCAGTTTGATAATGATAAAAAAGTACAGTACAGTTGTTTTGTTGAAATTATATAAAAATGTCTACATAAAACATTTAAGTTAATTTCCACATTATCGTGTTGTGAGTATCTTTCCAAATTAATCTCAATCTCAGTATGGTTCCTACCCGAATGTTGTTGCATATACATAAAAATATAGCAGTAACAATGAAAGACATACAATTTATTCCATCAATAAACAAGAAAATTCATTCACAAATCTAATTCTAGGTCTCGGTAACACAATTCGAAGGTTGATTGAGTGCCCAACACGCCTTAAAACCGACATTTTATATGATTTGCAAGTGCGGAACCCCGCCGTGCGTGTAGCATTGAGCAGTGGTGTTTGGAGGAGATCCCCCCGTTACCGCAGGGCGTGCTCTGCGGGCCCCTAATAGCTTGTTTAAATATTTTTCATTTTTAACTATTTCTACCACCCGTCGTGATCTAATAAAAATCAATGTTGTCGAGGGCGTGCGCGAATTATCATTCAAGTGACACTTTACAATCGATTTAGTTTTTTACAAGACTAAAAACTGCACATACACGCGTGTAAAACCATTCAATAAGAGGTTTGTTTCCATCAAATGCAAAAGTCAGTAATATTGACCGTCTGCCCATGATTCCTGCCCACCATTGCACCTCACATGTGGCTGGATACCGGCCGAGCCCGTACCATGTAATTCTATCTCATAAATATTATCGCAAATAATACATATTCGAGTTGAAATCGCTCCTTGATTGATGTCAAAGCATTCGTGGAGCTTATGTTCCCGCGCCGCGACTCACTCGTATCTCGATAGGAATTGAGTTGTTTTTGTTACGAAACTGTAATTGGACATTTAAAATAATATTATGTTCGAGAATTTTTTCTAAACGTATTTTTATAAATGAATGAGTTTGTTTTATTTAGTCTGTGTTTATGTTAAGGTTGTCTATTCTTGCTGCGGATTGGACCTATGAACACTTAGCGAAACCGTTTCTGTCGAACCTGTAGTCCCTAATTGGGCTGTTACGACATCTAAGGAAAGAATAGGAATGGGTGACAAATGTATAAACACTTTGCTAAAACCAGAGCATCTTGCAGCATTATTTCCTGCAAGTTCCAACGTCTCGAAGGGTGTTAGCATCACTTTCCCACAATTACTCGATCCAAATTGCACCTCAAGCTGTCTACCCAATCCATTCTGGGATTGGAATTTGTGCCTTCAGGTAATTCCATTATATCTTAATGTCAACGTAGTTTTGACAATGTAATACTTACAACAACGGTTTGATAGCTTCCCATGAGAAACAAAACGGGCAAAGTACTCGCAAAATTGTCTCTGTGACTCAACTTGGGAAATGTTTACGTAAATCAGGTGACGTATTGCATGGCATACATATTATTTCGTGGGGGTCTCATACAATATAGTAAAACATAGTTTTTTTATGGCATAACCCGGTAAACGAGCTGTCGGATCACCTGATGGTAAGCAATCGGCGTCGCCCATGGACACCTGGAACACCAGAGGCGTTACAAGTGCGTTACCGGCCTTTTGGGGACTAGGAGTTTGAGGATCGTTGCGATTCAGGAATTGGGGAGATTGGGGAAGGGGAGGGTAATTGAGCCTGCGGTAACCTCACTCACACGACGAAACACAACGCACGCGTTGCTTCACGTCGGTTTTCTGTGAGGCCGTGGTATCACTCCGGTCGAGCCGGCCCATTCCTGCCGAAGCATGGCTCTCCCACACTTTTGTGATGTTACACACACAAGTGGGTGTAACATCACTAGATAGTATAAAAGAAAATCGCTTTTCGCCGACTGTGTGCCGGTATGATTGGTTTTTAAGATACCGCATCAGATTTTGGTGGTTTTTTTAATAGATGGAGTGATTCAAGAGGAAGGTTTGTATGTTTAATAACTACAAAGCGAACGCGTGTAAAGCTGCGGGCAATAGCTAGTAATAGTACCGGTATAGAGTGTAAACGGAACGGACAAAAAGAAATTGTTTATACAATTGGGTAGTTTCTTGGGTCAAAAATAAAATATTTTGATTTTTCATTCCAATTAAATATTGAAAAATAATTACACTTTCATTCATTGATTTTTACCGACATACTTAATTTTCGTTTAATCTAGCATTTTTTTTTAAATAAGTGTGCTATTTGACGGGAAAAATATGATGACGTCATAAGATGGTATTTCGTACAAAATTCATAGAACAGTATAGTTTTTGACGTTTCGATAAAAGTATTTAATTTGACTAGTTATCAACTACCGTGTTATTCATGCAACAGAGCACTTGATTACAACTATTATAATATACAAGAAGCATTTAATTCCTTACTTTAAGAAAATAGAACTTGTTTTTCAGCAGCGTTCCGTATACTCTGTATAAGCACCCTGTAGTTTTCTAGATATTAAAAGGTGAGTTTAAGTAATGTAATGTAGAAAGACTGCCTCGTTGGCCGAGTGGTCGCAAGTGCGACTGCCCGGCTAGGGGTCTCGGGTTCGGGCAAAGTATTACTGGGTTTTTTCAAATTCTCAGTAGTAGCACGAAGTCTGGAATTGTGCACGGTATATGGCAATAGGCTCACCCCCTATAACATGGGACTCATAACATAAATAGTGAAAAGTGGGTGTTACATTGTACAGTGGCATTAAGTGCCGTAATGTGCACCTCTGCCTACTCCTTCGGGGATAAAAGGCGTGATGTTATGTTATGTTATGTAGAATGTTCAATATCAGACGGGGAAAAGTTAACAAAGTTAAACATTCAGTTTCACACACTATTTACTTAAACAAAGTGCTACATAGAAGTGCAATTGGAAGTGTAATAAAGTAATGATTTTCAAAAAACATTTAATAAACTTATTTTGCAACCAATTCGACTACGTAGGTAAAGTTTTCGACTGTTATTACAAAACAAGATAAGTTTTTTCGACTGATATTGCCAATTTGGAACGTTATTTTTTCGGTAGTTTGTAGTGACTCTTACTCATAGTTTGTAGTGAGTGAGTGAGTGAGTGAGTGACAGTTTAAAATGAAACTATGAGTCTGGTTCAACATTCGTTCCCATGTTACATGTAAGTACATATTTCTGTTTCCCATCCTGTATTGGTAACGTAAATTGGGTGCGATTTTTTTACAATTTTATTTCGTTCGAAGCTATCCTTGATTGATTTGGTATAGCAAAAATGGTTTTAGAATATTTTGTTTGGGTTTGTTGTTGTGTAGGTAGCTGGGTGTGTAGTTACATCTTATATAAAGCGGAAGAGTTTAGTTTTTTGTTTGTTTGTTTGAACGTGCTAATCTCCGTAACTACAAGTCTGATTTGAATAATTCTTTTTGTGTTGGACAGCGCATTTATCGAGGATGGCTATAGGCTATAAAACATCATGCTACGACCAATATTGACTGCACGGTTGGTGCGGTGGCTGGGCAACCGGCTGCCGTGCAACGTGTCGCGGGTTCGATTCCCGCACGGAACAACACTTTGTGTGATCCACAAATTGTTGTTTCGGGTCTGGGTGTGTGTGTGTGTCAAATTGTATGTCTGTAAACGCACCCACGACACAGGAGAAAATCCTAGTGTGGGGCAACGTTTTAAAAAAATAAATAAAAATAAAAAAAAAAAAAAAATAGTAGCTGAGCAGAGCGTGTGAAACCGCCCGGAAGTAGCTAGTATATTATATAAGTACTAGCTTCTACTAACGGCTTCGCCCGCGTGGTCATGGGATGAAAAGTAGCCGGTGTTAATTCAGACCATAATCTACCCCAGTTCCAAGTTTAATCTTGATCCCTTCAGCTGTTTTGACGTGAAGGAGTGACAAACAAACATACCAACTTTCACATTTATAATATGAATAGAGTTTATATGGAGGCCCTTTAGGATACGAGGAAAGGTTTTTTAAATTGTGTATTGATGTGAACAACTTTCAAAGAACGAAAGTAATTTTATTCCTGTAGAAAGCGTAGTCTATATTTTACACCACGGATGGGGCCCAATCACCACGGATGGGGCCCAATCACCACGGATGGGGCCCAATAGGGCTGATGCCGATTCGGAGTCGCGGAGAACCTAACGGGTTACCGGGGCTCCGGCTCGAAGTGCAGGAGTAGGAACGGGGTGGTTTTTAGTCAGTAAGAGTCTGACACTCCCTCCCGCCTCACCCAGGCGGCAGAAGTCATTCGATGATGTTCCCCCCTTAAAAAAAGTCTATATTTTAAGAACACCTTTAAGTGGTATTTATTTAGGTACCTGCATTTTTTGCTAAAAGTGTATCAAAACTTAAAACGATATTTTTATTGGTAGTCTGGATTGGAGGATAAAATATAATTCATATCAACTATAACCCCTCAGTGGTCTGGCCAATTCAAAAAGCTGAACAACTTTCAGGAATGAAGTGGCACCACAAGAAGAAGAAAGATTAAATAACCCCTAAAAGAAGTCGATTAATAACTTGCGTAAAAATAAAACCTTCATCAACAGCCTATATATAAGTGGCCATTGCTGACCAAAGGCCTCTTCTCACACACAGGTTTCCTCACGATGTTTTCCTTCACCGTTTGTCAGTAGTGTCTAAATAATCTTAGAAAGTATAAATGAGATATAACTCGGAAAAAGTCACATTGGTACTTGCCGTTGGTAGGTTTCGAACCCGCATGATTGAGAAGCGGGCGTCATAAACCTGCGGGCCACCACGACCTTTAAATTAAGTAAGACAGCGCGAGGGAGTTCCTTGTAAATTGTTATTAAAGAATACTAATTAAATTTGTACCTTACCCACATATACATAAAGAGAAAAATCATAACACATTACATTACCTTTAATTGCGACATTAGCTCACTTCAATAAATTAAATGATCTACACATAATAATATCTGCAACATTGACCATATAAAGATCAATTTTACGTTGATCGGCTGCGTACGCGCCGCAAGCAAGCGCACTCCCTTATTAGGAATTATAAAAATATAATATGCCCTTGCACTTCTTGCTTTTTGTTTCGGTAGCTGATACCACAAATTATTATGTATTAAAGGGGGCGAGGTGCTACTGACAGCGGGATACTGTAATGAGATGATTGGATGTATTAGCGATATATGATACCAATCTCAATAATCTGTATAGATTTGCCAATTATATAAAGAATTTTGGTTATTATACCTATGTATCTATGTCTTCCGACCAAAAGGAGCTAAGCGAAATTTTTTGGAACTCGACTTATTTAAATGGTTAGACGCACAAAAAAGACGATTCTAACCCTATATCTAGGGTCGGTAAACTAAACCACATAAGTAAAAAAATGCTTTTTGTTATTATTATACCAACAACGTTAAAATAAATTAATACATCGATGGACTAAAGAATAATGTAAGTCACAATTCACTTTTAATTTTTTTGTTGACTTTCAAAAGTGCCTTTCTGGTCTAATTGAAATAAATGATTTTGACTTAGACTTTGACACAGTCGATCATTTAAAACCGCTTCGATTCGACCGACCGACCGAGTCGATTTTGCAAAAATGTCTCTTACCACCTCTTGGCCGGAAGTCATCGATATACAAAATGTGTCTTGTTTTGTATATCATTGAAACTGACCAACCGATCCGACAATATATCTCTAGGACTTAATCTGTATCTTCAAGAACGTCCAAGTGTGGGTGGTAAATACAGTTTATTGGACAGCAGGTTTAAATCTTTCGATATGGTGTGACCCTGTTGTCCTGAAACCTTATCACGAATACTCACGCGCTTATTATTGTCCCGATTATTATTAATCGTAAATATACTAATGATTCCTTATTCAAATTTCTTATAGTTATTATTATTACTAGCTGACTCGGCAAACTTCGTATGACCTAAAATTTTTCCCCCCTTTTAAACCTTCCCTAGACTTTGACGAACATTTCAAGACCAAAATTACCAAAAGTACTCGAGTTTTAGCGAGACTAACGAACGGAAATTGATTTCTATTTATATAGATTATACTTCACATTCGTATTTCTATTGATAATCTCTTTAGTGTTAATTATCTGTTACGTATACTAAGTGAAATAATAAAAGAATCTACAAAATGTTTTTAAATTAACTATCGTGAGACATACTAAATTAACTAAAAATCGCGGGTTACTCACGTGAATATACTGAGAAAAGCTCTAGGCTGCTCTCATTAGGCTGCGCGATATCGCCGCGACCGCGCACGCTGCTCATGAGGAAGAACCCCTCGGTGGTTCGAAACTAGTAGAGCTTTTCTCAGTATACTCACGTGAGTAACCCGCGATCTTTAGTTAAATCTACAAAAGTCAGTTTGATGTTAACATTCAACCGATTATGTTAAAACTTATGACAATTATTAACTCATTCGATTGAAACTCAAAATCAAAAGCATTATTATTTCAATAAAACCATAATTTGATACTTTTTAAATGTCAACAAATATAAAATAAATAATAGTCTCTCCGTCTGTCCGTCAGTGAAGTTAGGTGCTCGTTATAAAAAGTAGATTCGAGTGGAGAAGAACAAGCAAGAAACTCCATGCTGCTCCACTTTTAAAATTACATTTGAACGGCAATCTGAATGATATATCAATGCTCCTAATTATTACCGAACAGTAATGTAAATAAATGATCAATGAACCAGCTCCGCTAACAGTGTGGCCCCACAAAATACAGAAGCGTGAGCATCTTTACTTTGTTTTGCTGTAATTACTTTTTTGAATTATAAATTCAATATTTAAAAAAAGTTCAAAACCTTGCCAGACTTGCCAGTTGCGGGTTCCGTCGATACGGAGCCGCGGAGGACTTAACGGGTTTTCGGAGCTCCGGCTCGAAGGGCAGGAGTAGGAACGGGGTGGGTTTTAGTCAGTAAGAGTCTGACACTTCCTCTCGCCTCACCCGGGCGGGAGAAGTCATTGGACGAATTGCAACCCTTAAAAAATCTAGGGATTATTTTGAGTTTGACCAGTAGGAGTATCCTCCTTTTCATCAGTATTTATACCTACTCTGACTATATTATACTGTCAAACACCAAGCGGTCACCGGTGACCGCGACCTATTGTTCTTTAATTGTGTCTATAAAACCGGTACTCGACGAGTTAAGCTGATGACAAGACAATTCATCGTCACCATCATCATCAGAGTATTTCCATGCACTGTTAACTTTATAACTTAGTATATGATAACCCTAATAATATCTACATATCTCAACCATTGCACAGTCTAGAATACTTTTAAAATTCTTAATCCCGATTATGAGAAATTGTTCATAGAAAAGTAGTCTCTAAACATCGGAAATAAGGTCTGTAATGGAGTAAGTGGAGAGCGGTCATCGGTTACCGCTTGGGCGGCTATTTTCACAAACCACCTCGAAACGATCTCATAATTAAAAGTAACTTAACGTGACATATCACCTAAAGTAACCCCTTACGTTTACCACCAAGTATCAGTTATGGTGAAAACAAAAATGTCATTAAAAGACACCTATCTTAGTTTAAGGGTTCCTTAAAATTCAGGTCAGGTTGGTCAAAACGGGCATTAGAAAGAAAGAAAGAAAAACCATTTATTTTTTTACCATTCGTGTGTTTACCAATTATTACAATACAAAACCATCAGTACTTTGGACTTGTAACATGCTACGTAATTTATCCTGTTAGGCACTGCAATACTTAACCCCTCGAGCGTCCTTATGAGCACCCGGTGGATCATAAGAAAAAATGCTCCATGCTGCTTTCTCTTTTATAAAATCTATTATTAATAATTTTTTTATTTTGACTGTATTTGTTTTATTTCTGTAAAGATCCTTGTTTTCGTGTGCCAATGGCCAATAAATGCATTTTCTTGCATGCATAAGGATAAGGAAATGCATAAGTAACGCGAACGCTCGACGGGTTAAGTCAGATATATCAGTCCATCTCTTTAAGGTATAAAAACCTTCATGTCGTGAATGTATGTTAAACAATATTAAGCTACAATTACTGTGTTCTTAGCACAATAACTTTAATGTTAACGATGCTTTGTTACCTTTCAACTGGAGACAATTGCAATATGATCGATAGTGATTGACACCATGTCCGCTGTTGTTCAGATTTTTAATTATAATCACCACTTATAACTCGATCATCGTTTCCGTTATTTTATATCGATATTTACAAATCGATTAGCGATTTATTAATGAATCGAGTGATGTAGGTGGGCGTATAAACGTAAAATCCGCAGAGGATATTATAGTGTTTTCTTATGGTTTGGTATTTGGGCTTATACATTACCTAACTAATAAGTAAATAAGCGCAGCTCTGTCAACCCTATAGGATTAAACCATGATGGGATTAGACAGCGTGACGTTATATTATGACTTTTGAATTTTCCCGTAGCATTTCTTGAAATGTTCTCGCTCCTCTTCTATTTTTTATTGCCAACAATCATTCATTCATCAACTACCTTGTTAATCCATCAAACCAGACCGCACAGCGTGTAAACAGTAGCAGCACACAGAATAAAGTATAACGTCTGAATTAGAGGCTCGCAT